TATGTATTTTTTTATTTAAAAAATATAAATTATAATTCTTAATTAATTTTTATATTTTTTAAAAATAAAAAATTAAATAAAATCTAAAACTTTAATGCATCTTAAAATTAATTCTTTTTCAAATCGGCTCACCTCCGATTGTTTTGGTACGGTTAAAAATATTAATTTCTTTAAAGGTCACTCTTACAACTTACTACAAAAACACTTATTTATCCATAAAACTAAATTTATTTGTAAAAAAAAATTTCTAACCTATCATGTATAATGCAAAAATATTTGTAAGAAAAAGATGGAAAGTTTATATAATAAGTATGTGATGTGATTTTTGTGATTGCTTTTTTTTGTTAGAGGAGACATAAATTAACGAAAAAGTGAAAATAAAAAATGTTTTGACGTGAAAATGTCTTAATTTTTCAGATTCTACGTAAATTAGTATGTATTTACAAATTATTGTAAAAGAATATTGATATTGTCAAGTTAGTAGTAATAATACATAAATTTAGTAAGTAGTCTACCGTATCAAATAGCTAACCTCAAAGGTACCAAAAGAGAGAAATACTATTAGGTCAAAAAAATATGTACTACTACTAATTCAACTAAACCTTCAATGGGAGAGCAAATTTCACTTTTGGCCTTGGTCAAATCTGCCTCATACCTTACGATAATACTGTGATTTACTTCACACAAGATCCTATGTAGCAAACTTACCAATTGAAAAAATCTAATTCTCCATGACTTCATCCATGCTCACTGTACAAAAATATGGAAGCTAAATCGGCTCAGCTTACACGCCACACTGATGTCAAGTTTGCGCTGCAACCATTCTGGCCTCGTTCGCACCCAGTTAAGGCTTATTTCTGATACCTGTTTCCCTTCCTTCAGCAATGATTGATTGCACTAATTATCCAATATCAAACAACAATTATTCTAAAACCAGATTCCAGATGGTTGAAAATATTTTCAACACCTTGGTCTTCAATTCTTCATTCTGAAAAGCCTTCATATTGCTAGTCTTCAACCTCAGTGTTGAAAATAAAACTTGGAAATACAGTCGTAATGTCCCTATAGGAGGAAGATAACATATAAACAAATAGCAATTATTAGTTATGATGGATGAAGGTGTTGATAATCAAACAATGGGATGCACTAGCTTTTGCGAAAAGGAAAGATGTCAATAATTGGAGAAGGGTGAAAAGACAAAGTGGGGCAATTAACGCACTTCAAATATGGAAGGGTCATGTGCTTCAAGAGGTTTGGATTTCGGACCACAAATGCCTTCCACTCTTCTTTGTCGATTCTACCATCCCCATCCGCATCAGCATCAGCAAATGTCTACAGCAAGAATTAAGGTCCTGTCAAGTAATATGAAATGGCTCCACAAAGTCTGCTTTTTTGGATCAGCAAAAGGGTTCCACGTGCTGACCCAATCACAAGCAAAGAAATTAGCAATTTCAGAGTGAAATGCACCTTGTCAATAATTGCTTCCAGTAGGTCATCTGACAACGTCATGTCAGATTCCATCAAAATAGCAATTACCATTTGCTTAACCTGAATTCAACAAAGAGCCAATTAGGTAAAGGCATAGAGTGTACTCTGAGTATTAAAGGACTATCAAACTTCAGCAACGATGCAGCACTAAAACACACTCACTTCTTCACGCTCTATGAAGCCAGTTGCTCTCAGATCATATAACCTAAATGCAACTGCAAGAAATTAACAAGAATAAGGACACACTTCACAAGAAAGCTAATATTCAGTTGTTATGAAGCAGATTATTTAAATTGAAAGCTTACAATCAATTTTTTCTTCCATAGGTGCATTGGGATGGAAGACATTGAGTGAATGAACAAATTCCTCAAATTCAATAACACCATTTCTCTTCTCATCAAAAAGATCAAAAACCTATAAAAGAACAAAGATATTCAGAGGTGTGTGTGGGGGGGGAAGGAATCAAGAAATTGAAATATAACATTCACAAAGAACTAAAGCATATAACTAAAAAGAATCTTAGATCGCATCTGTGGAAGTAATATCTCCAAAAAAAAAGGCAGAAAATAAAATTTTAAAAAATGAAACCAGCAAACAGATGCTAAAAACAATCAAGATCTGATCATACTGACTAACCAAAATGCCCCACTAAAGAATTCACTAAAATCACATTTTCCAAAGAATAGCCTGATAGCTAACAAACGCTCTGGACTACTTAAAAGTTAAAATGTTGCATGCAGCTCAGCTGTGACAGCAGACAGCAGGAAAGTAAAGACTACAAAATTTAGCTCAAGGAGACAAATATTCTCATTTCTAGATGCTGGTTCAACAGTTCGTCTGTGCCTTCGCACCATATGTTATTTCTAGCAAAAGATCAAAGTAGTTAAGGCAATGTCAGGAGAGCTCGTAACAGAACATATTGATATTGTTGTAATGGATTTACCCGGTCAATAAAAAGATTCTCCCCATATGGAGTGTGGAACAATGCTAATTGGAGTTCTTCCTACAGAGATAACAAGCATTAAAACGATTATAAGCATAACCACCAGTTTTTGCATCAATAAATTTAATATAAAAACACATCATATTAAATCAAATACAAAAGGTTAGACACTAATTGCTCTTAGAAGCTCAATTTACCTTGTGAATCAACCCATCATCAATGATAGAACTACTCAATTTTTTAAATAGCTCATACAATGCCTCGACTTCATTAACAGTGACTGCACAATTACCAGAAATAGAATCATTGAAATCACCACTTCACACAAAAAATAAAATAAAATGTTATATTCAATATCTAATCTCTTCTTTCCCAAACTGACATAGAAATACAAAAAATAAAATATTTGAACATCTTTATATTTAAGAAACCAAAACCCAGACCAAATCACACCAAATATAGAATTGAAGCTGTAATTTATTTTTGGTTTAAAAACCAATTTGGTCCCTTAACTACAAAAAGTACCAAAATTGTATTTTTAATATAAAAAAAAAGTCATTCCTTAACAGAATATCATGTAACTCATTATTTTGTAACAAAATCTTATTTTTAAAAAAATACTAATGATATATAAAATCAAACAATTAAAATTTACTAACATAATATATTTTTATTTACGTATCAAATTAATATATAATCAAAATTGAAAATTCAAATTAGTATTTGTAATCAGAATTTAAGAACTATTTTGGTACATAAATTAAAGTTCATGATCAATTTTGATACTTTTTGAAGTTTAGGAAAATTTTTTATACAAATCTAAAAGTTGAAAGACTAAATGGTATTTTAACCTTTATTTTTCTCAGCAACCAAACACATCTCAGATCAACAAGATCTCCAACGACATTCCTAAGGGAAAAAAAAAATAAAAGCAAGAGATTCAGAAAGAGAAGTACATCGGGATTCATTGGCAAGGCAAAGCAGATCTCCGAAACTATAGTGACATTTCTTGTACTGGGGTCGGAGCTCAAAGCAGTTTGCAACTGAAGATATTACAAAATCGGCCACAGCAAGAAACGGTATTAAAGCTGCGCAGATCCACTCTCCGACCGTCAGAGAACTCATCATCTTTTAACGCACAGATAAAAACAAAATGCTCAAACATTAGAATCAAACCTCAAGACTCAACACAAATAACCAAAAATCTATACAGGCATGAACAAGAACGTCTAAGAAAGAGAAAGAAAAGAGGGAGTATTCGAAGGAGATACAGAAGGATCGGTCGAGTCCATGGCCGGAGGCAAACCGTACGTCAACAGAGAGTTGCTCTTCTGCTCTCGCCGCGCAACCGGCTACACCGGAGATTGCCTGTTCGTCGCAATCAAATCTCTATCGGCAGGATAATTGTTGAACTTGGCGTGGGACATGACGAGCTAGGAAGAGGATGAGAAGAAGGAATGCAAGGCTGCACAATTTTCAGGATTTTGTTTTGTATATAAAAAAATCCAAAATAGAGTTAACGTGTTGCCGTGCCGTGGAGAAAATACCATTACACGTGAACGGATCCTACGGTTTAACAAATGTAACTGCTTTTTCGCCAATTTCACAATTAATTATTAACCT